GGGGGGAGAGGGATGCTGTTGTTCAAATAAATTTTTTTCCTCTACTTACTGCAAAAAAACTTGACTCCACAGGATGATTGCCTAAATCTGTTTAAATCATTGAAGAGATCTACTTTCACCACCACATTGATCTCCCCACGTATACCTATCAATAAAAAAGATGAAAAATGAGATGCTGTATTAGAAATTAATAGAAAACTAGCCCTCTTAACTATTCCCTAACAGTAATTAATGGACTTTCTATTACCAATGAGTTAGTTTTTCTGCAAAGAATGTACTATAATCCTGCCAGAACCGCTCAGTTCAACGGGCAGGTCATGTATCAGTTCTAGCCTGGGCCAGAGAAACAGGAACACAGTTCCTTGCCTCTCAGCGCTGCTGCAGAGATGCCACCCCAGAGGAAGCTTCTAGTTCTGCCCAGTCTTTGAGGCTGAAGCTATGCAAGCATCAGTCCCCACATACCTGCTGCACCAAACAGGACTTCAAAAGAAAGATGGGATTGGGAAAAGAGATCCTGATACAGCAGCGGGCAAGCGTGCTCTCTGCTCCTTTCCCCTGGACCATCAGTGCAGGAAGGGTATAAATTCAGTATGTAAGATATCCTTAGCACAAAAGGTCGGAAGTACTAACTTTGAATATGGATGCCTTGAAGCTGAAGAACTGTTCATATCAAAAAGCTCTGATCAAACCCAAAAAGGCTTTTATATTTTCTCCCTGAAATGGTTTCAAAATTGCAGTAAAGCTGTTCTCTGAAGTTCAATCCAGTAAGAAAATGTATGGTTCTTTCTAGAACCACAAAGTGGCACAGAAAATGTCTGCAAAATACTTCAACTATCAGAATAAATACATAAAAATATAAGGTATTACACACTTTTTAGATAAAGCTCCATTTTTGGCCACATTTAAATCTTACTAAGAGAGGAATATTTGCAACACACAGCCATTCGTTTTCGATTCTGCTACTTGCCTATTCTGAGCTTTTTCTTCTTTTTCCCCACCCAGCAACAAAATCATTTCATATATAAAGTTCTGACATATTGAGGACTAAACTTCTTGATAAGTCTGATCTCTAGTGTCTTCAGAAGCCTACATCACATAGTATATGACACTCAACAAAAAGTGTTATTCAGATTAACTCTGGCATTACTGCAAGAAAGTCAACTGGATCTATCTTCCAAAATGCCAATAGAAAGAAGCCTTCAGTTACTGTAACAGGAAGTGCCTCAGGTTCATATATTTGCATAAATAATCATGTTGAGGTAAAAAAAAAAGTATATAACCATTACATTGATTTTTTTAAGGAAGCATCAATTACTGCCGTTTGCCAAGGATCAAGATAATTAGAAACTACAGCTATGAGCATGAAAATATAAGAATTCGAATTTTACTGAAATAGAAAAAAAGTGAAAAGCTGTGAAATACTAACAGATGTAGAAAAATATAGAGAAATCTAATTCTCTCTGACATACAAGTTGTACACATCCTGAGAGAAGTGTTCAGTAATTTTAACTTCAAAAGAAAACATACCATAGAAAAATGTGAATAGAATAAAAGGATAAGGAGGAAAAATACATACTAATTTCTCAGAAAAGTCAAATTCAACATAACTGTTTTAAACATAAGAAATACTCTGCATCAGTTACGATGATCATCTAGCAAATGTGACTAATTACTTCCCAACAACGAGTTATAATTAGCTTTAACATAGGCAGGTCATTTACTTCACACTGGAGAATGAACAAGGGTGGCAATGACAACCACGCAGATGTTCTGCAGTAAGGCACTGAAGCAGCAAGCTAACTGCTGTAAACCAACCTCGACTTTCTGGGACAAAAGTTGTATTTCATGAAAATCGAAGGCAAAAATATCATTAACTTCATTTTCTCATACCTTCAAGATATTCTGATGAAATCTACCTAGCACCGAGAGTACTCTCTGCAGGGAAAAAGAATTTCATCTTGTACTTCATGTTGGAGATGTCACATCCTGTCCCTCCACCTCAAGTGAAGTTTATCCAGCATCCCAGGAAGGCACAGCCCAAGTGACTTCAGCAAACGAATATTCTCTTAGTAAACACAAGGCAATTGGAAAAGTATGTTTGCATCTTTTTTTTTAATCTGAACTTTGCAGTCTGTTTTAAATACCACGTGAAGGTTTCTTTCCACTTGTCACAAGTTCTGTGGAAGGCGTTCTGCCAAGCACTAGTCTGAACTACTATGCCAGAAATTTTCTCATGCCAGAAATAAGGAAAAAAACTCCCATAAAAGTAGCTTTCCAGCTCCCAAGGCTAAAATTATTACAAATCTCTGAAGACAGCTTACAGAAATGAAGATTGTAAAAAGCAGATTACATCTCAAACAACATTGTTTTACTTTTAACGTAGCAAATCTTACCATGAATTGTATCATAAATTGGAAACCATCCTGAAATAACTGTGGCTGCTTCACTATAGAGCAAAGGATCAATATCTATGTACACTTTGCCAATGGCATCATTAGCACTGTAGGTATCATGATCAAGAACTGTAATCTGGAGTGGCTCATCTTGTAGCTCTTCATCATCTACCTAGAAACAAATATGAACATGGAATCTGAGTGTTTTTTAAAAAATGCAGGGAAACACTGCTGAAAAACAAATGCAAAAAAGATGAAAGTTAGTTATGTAGAGCAACTTGACACAGATAAATCTGGAATTTCAACTCCCTGTATCTAAAGAACACATTCACGTATTTTTACTTTTGCCCTTCGCAGGTGAGATCCTGGAACCAGAGTTATCACTGTGAGAAGAACAGAAAAACAAGGTTACAGAGTTTACACATGTTAAAATTCCGTATGATTTGGTTTAAGTCACATTCCCTGGACTGTCTATCCATCTCCACAATACATACTTTTCCTAAAAACACATGAAAATTTAAGATAAAGCATCTCAGACGACTATTATACTCTGAAGTTATCTTTATTTATATGAACAGAGTTAACCCTCCACACAGATCGGCTCTTTCCCCTCCCCTACGAAACAACCCCAGAAACTGAAAAATACAAACAGAAAACTGATAGAGTTTCAGCACCACACTACTACTTTCTTAATCAACATGGACTGCTGACGCTCTTAATCAACCATTCCACCTGATTAATAATGTGCCTAACCTCACTATTTTGTACCTGCTCTACAATATTTCTAACATTACCAGCTATTGCATCACTCATTACAGGTACCTATATTACAACCATGTTTATACATGTGATATTATCTTACAGCACTATAAATGAACCAGTATTACGTATTCAAATGTTTTAACAATTAATTTATTCTGAATAATTTTTTTTAAAGTAATAAAAAGTGCAGTAACAAAAAAAAAAAAAAAATGTAAACACTTGTTACAGGTATGATGTCACCAGGCATCAAGGAATTAGATCCTGGAAAGCAACAAGCAATTACAGGAAAATGCTGAGTGCCCTAATTATTACATAAGGAAATGGGAAAATAAAGTCTCCGATAATTGTTAGCCAAGCTCTTAATTTTCTAATCTTCTCACAGGAATTCTCCATTTTCTTCTCTGTCAAGTGCATTATTTTTGCAACCCAAAGTAACCTTTCAAATACCAATTAACTTTCCTTACTCAAAATCACCCCTTGAAAATAATACAAGCATACCCGTACTGGTATCTGAAAACCTGATCCATAATGCTATTTTCCCCTACTTTCACCCCTGCCCTGTCTTTTTTAGTACTGCCCAGAATAACATTTGAGTTGGATCCAACCTGGCAAGCTTTTATCTTTACAAACACTCCTAAAAAGCCAATGATACACCTTCAGCAAACATGGTCTAACTGCAGATAGGTTTGCTGAAAAGGCTTCATGTGTATTTAAACAGAAATACACTTAATTCCCCAAAACTCCCTTTCTGCCTGAACTGAAATTATTTCATTAAAGGCATCTAAACCAGTGTCTATACAGATACAAGTGAACTCTTAAAAAATACTTACTTCAAATTTGAACCACTCAGAATTCCACTGAGGATTAAGTGATTTGGGATATACATCTGTCTTAAATGTTGTATTTCCAAATTTTACCTAAAAAGACAAGTGTTCAATTATTAGTAATAAGTATTAAGAAATAAATTTAGAAACTCATTAAATCTACACAAGCAAAAAATATCAAATACGTATTTCAATAATATTAACAAATCTTTTCAGTGAGTGACTTTTCTAATCAATTCACATGTATCAGTAAGTAATCTTCTATGTATCATAACACCAAATAAATCTCTCTCCCACTATTAAAATTTCTTCTTTTCCTCCTGTCACTTGAGATACAAAAATATCACTTATATTTGCTATTCAAAGTCACATGGTGTAGTCTACTTCTGTTTAGAAATACTGTAAGCAAAAGCATTCTAGCTAAATATTTATAGTTCACGTCCTATTACTGTTTGCTCTAGAGTTTCTAAATCAGCTTTATTGACAATTTATAAAAGAAATGTAAAAATAAAATGGTAACCTTGGTAAATTTATTTCTTAAATTTCAGAAATCTCCCCAACATAACTGAAACCAGCTCCATTAACTGCTATCTTAATATGCCAGACACATTATCAGTGAATTCTGAGCAGCAACGGGGAAGCAACTCAACCGTTTCTACTGCTTTCTTAAAAATATAGAAAATTCCAGAAAGCATACAGGCAAAAAAGGTTAGAGGAACTATATATCTATATATGTAACCATATATATCCCTGTAACCTCCACTCCTGAGATTAAATATTCTCCATACTTCTCTTGATCAGTGCACCTTCAACCACATAACAGCCCTATTTCAGGAATCTCCATTTGGTCTCCACAGGAGTCTATTTCAGAACGACCCCATTTGTGGTTTGGTTTGGGTTTAAAAAAAAAAAAAAAAGTGAAACAATTTCTGTGATGCTCCATACATCAAAAAACCGTGCTGCTCATAAAGAGCCTTTATTTCACGGCAGTTTTCATTCCAAATTGTTTTCAAATATGTGTAGTTCTCCAAATGCTGCCTCTCAAGACAGCACTTCAACTCATACCAAGAATCTGATGGTACTTACAAATAACCAGAGTTATGTTTCTTAATTCATTCAAAATCTTTGAGAAAATGAGTGTGCTGGTAGAAAACAAGTGCTGCAGTTAAAGACAGCTGTGGATCTAGAATGTCGTTTTCTTTTTAAGAGTCTAAGTGGGTTTTGGAGACTAAATTTAGGCTTAGTTTTTGGAAATGGTATAGCGATTTTTTAAACACTTTTGCTCAAGAAAGTAAAAAAAAAAAACACTTTGTAAGTTTCAGTAACACGGTGATCATTTTGCACAGGTGCACACCCCAAGTCTGAAGAGATTCTGCACTTGCTTAAGTTAATTAAAAAAGCCCAAAGCACTGCAGAACTGGACTATACATTCACACAGAGCTCTGTATATAACTCTGCATACCTCAGTCAACAGAACCCTCTGTGACCAAAGAAACTAATAAAAAAACCACCGGGCCCCTCTATTTGATTCAATGAACAGAAATGCTTTCGAAAAGAAGTTACTTCAAAGTAAGCTTTAAAGTTAAATGCCAGAGTGGTACGAAAGGACAGGAGTAAGCAACCTTAGTGTAAAATATCATCGATACAGTCCCTGTGCGTACCAAAAGCTACCAGCACTGCCACTCAGAACCCGTGTTCCTCACACAAAGCAGTATAAGAAAACGGTATTGACACTAGTTCTAACAGAGCTATCTTGTACATCAGAAGCAAACAAGACCCGAGAGCCCAGAGCTCCACCCGCCTATTTTTTACATGTTACCGAGGGAGCAAATTAGCTCCCCTGGAGCCTCAGGCAGCTACAACTGAGCTTCTCCAGTAGCCAAGCTAGTTCATTAAAGCTAGGAGAGATAATCAAGCACTACGCTGCTGTCCGCTGTACAAACCGAGCAGCACAATTACAGAAGAAATTGTGCTAATTTGCTCTAGATCACACATGCTGGGACAGTCCAAGTTAGGCATAATCTGAGCCAAGGAAGAGCTCGAACATATTTTCTCGTTTACTTTTCTAGCTCTAGGTTAATATTAGAAAATTTAACAAGGAAATTAAAGGCCAGTAATCGACTAGTAACTTACCATTACCTCAACTTTTCATTTTTATTTAAGTGAAAACGTTTTGTAAAGGTTGGGAACAAGTGACCAACAGCAGAGGAGAGCTGTTTCTCCCCAAGACACCATAAAAACAGGCCAAATGAAACTCATCAGAGAACTGTATTTCCTATTCCTGTTTTCCCTGTCTCCTATTAGCACACATCAAGTTGCTGCAAGCAGCCGAATAATCAAATTTAAAATTACAACAAAAGAAAAGTTTATAAATTAAAAACTGACCGATAAAACATCTGAAAGCAAACACTGAAATATTAGGTTAAATGACTGTCATTCATGTAATAAACTAGAACTGCGTATTGTTTCAGCTCCACTGAAAAGCACAAGAAATACATTTTCACTTTATTACCAACTTACTGTCCCACTAAGCAATGCGCTTACTGTCTAACATCAGCTGAGTTCTTAAGCACCAAGCCAAATCAGGACTTGTATAGCAAAAAACTATTTTGATATTAATATTATCAGTTTTCAATTGTATAAAGATATTATTATCTTCCTAACTTAATTCCAGTATTGCACCAACATCAATTACTGTTTGTAGTATGAGCATGCATTTACATAGCATTGCATTTTTAAACACCTCTGCTTTTTCTAAGGGTATGATTTCTGAATCTATGGAATGCTACTGAAATGTTTTAAGTTACTCATCTTGGAAATGGTGAATCATAAAACAGAAGGATCACATCAACTTATCTTGCAATCTCTTCCTGTGAAACGCCCTATATATTGCCTGTTAACTGTGGGACTGTAAAGAATCACAGAATGGTTTGGGTTGGAAGGAACCATAAGGACCATCCAGTTCCAACCCCCCGGCCATGGGCAGGGACACCTTCCACTAGACCAGGTTGCTCCAAGCCTCATCCAGCCTGGCCTTGAACACTTCCAGGGATGGGGCATCCACAGCTTCTCTGGGCAACCTGTCCCAGTGCCTCCCCACCCTCTCCGGGAGGAACTTCTTCCTGATATCCAATCTAAACCTCCCCACTTTCAGTTTAAACCCATTACCCCTTGTCCTGTCACTACAGGCCCTTGTAAAAAGTCCCCCCCAGCTTCCTTGTAGCCCCTTCAGGTACTGGAATGTGCTATAAGGAAGGCTGACGTTAGATACTTTTGGTGCAATAGAGTGATTTAAACATGGGCACAACATTTAGTATGTCTAATAAAAATCCTCTTCGAAAATATGCTAGCATTTCAAATACTTTAAACAAAAGTATGACTATTGGCCCTAAAAGTCAAGCCTGTACAGCGATTCTGCACTTCATATATTCAGAGATACAAATGACTCAAACCACGCTTTTACTGCTTTTCTACCCTGCTTACAACACGTCTGCCCCCTCCTGAAATGGATCTCCCTCGGCTGCCACATCAACGAGAGCCCTTCAGGAACAACCTCCGGCCGGCGGGGCCGAGAAAGCGCAGAGCATTCCCGCAGTGCCATTCCCGCCCTACCTGCCCGTCAGCTGAAAATCACACCCACCGGTACACCTGGCGCTCCTTCCGCTGCAGCCCGGGGCTCGGGGCATCCCCGCAGCCCCTCGG